TGTTGTCTGTGAAGCTACAGTTATCTGAAAGCTTCCCTGGCACCGATGGATCCATGTCCAAGGTGGCTCACTCCCATGACTGTTGGCAGGAGGCCTTGATTCTCTGCCTCATGGGCCTCTGTAAGGCTGCTTGAGTATCCTTACGACATAACAGCTAGCTTCCCTTAGAGTGAGTGTTTCAGGAGAGAGCAGGGAAGAATCTGAAGTGCCTTTTATGATCTAGTCTCAGAAGACAAACTCTTGTGTTTCTGTCTTACTTTGTTAGAAGTGGGTCATTAAGTCCAGTGGGAATTCAAGGGAGGGAATTAGGTTCTACCTTTCAAAGACAGTGTCAGCATTTGTGGACATATTTTATTTTACTCTGTTTTGTTTTGTTTTAATCTTGGTTTAGACTTTTTTTTGAAGTATAGTCAGTTTATAATGTGTTAATTTCTAATGTACAGCATAGTGTTTCAGTTATATATATATTCCTTTTCATATTTTTCATTTCATATTCATATTCATTATTGAATATATTTCAATGTATTTCAGTATTATAAAATATTGAATATAGTTCCCTGTGCTATATAGTAGAACCTTGTTGTTTATCTATTTTATATATAGCAGTTAGTATCTGCAAATCCCAAATTCTCAATTTATCCCTCCACCCCCTCCTTTCCCCCTTGGTAACCATAAGTTTGTTTTCTATGTCACTGAGTCTCTGTTTTATAAACAAGTTCACTGGTGTAATTTTTTTAGATTCCACATGTAAGTGATATCATATGGTATTTTTCTTTCTCCTTCTGGCTTACTTCACTTAGTATGACAATCCCCAGGTCCATCTATGTTGCTGCAAATGGCATTATTTTATTCTTCTTTATGATTAAGTACTATTCTTGGGGGGTGTGTATGTGTGTGTGCACATACATGCGCGCGCGCACACGCACACACACACACACACACACACAACTATTTTATCCAGTGTGGATAAATTTAGATCACCACAGTGATCTTTTGGTAGGTTAGTGGCTTTTTTAAACTGTGAAAAACTATCATATGTGAATAGTAGTTTATATTCCAGCTGTGATAATATACACTACATTAATATTGTACGTGATGGATCCTGGACCATCAGGTACAACGTTATCAGTGAATGCCAGATGAAGATACGTGATGTTAATGCTTTTATTAATCCAATTTTTAAATGAACGTTGGTGTTCTGGGGCCCTCTTCTCTCTTTCTTCTTAGGTCATTTCATATAGAACCACAGCTTTAAAAATCTCTGCTGTTGACTTAGGTTCATATCTTCAGTCCCAGATGTTTCCTTTAAGTTTCAGAACTGAGTGCCAATTAGACATTCCCTTTGAGTCATTTCAAATGTCTAAAATTGAACCGAACCCTTGATCTCCTCTCTTCATTCCTTTCAAAATCCAGTTGTCCCCATTTCAGTAATTGCTCGTGCCAGAAATGTAGGGATCTTCTCTGACTACTCACTCTCCCCACTCCCCCTGGCCGTCTAACACAGTACCAAGGCCTGTTGAATCTGTTTGTGAAGTATGTTTTGAATCCGTCCTCTGTACCACCACCACTCTAATCTTAACCACCATTGCCCCTCTCCTAAACTACCATAGTATGCTTCTTAGTGGTCTGTTTGCTTCTGCCTTTGTCCCTTCCAGTTCGTTACATAGAAACCAGATAATTGCCTTTCCACCTCACTTACATTTAAATCCCGAATCCTTTCTATGAGCTTGCCTAACCTGATCCTTGACTTTTCTGTCTCTTCAACCTCATCTTTCACCACTTTACCCCTTATTCTTAACATTTCAGAAAGAAACATTGTTCTTTTTTGCTCTTCTCTGCCTCAAGATCTTTGCACCAGCTGTCCTTCACCCCCACCCCACCCCGCTGCCTATTTCTTTACCTGGCTAAATAACTTTTTTATTCTTCAGATCACAACTTAAATATCACTTTTCAGCATTGCATCCCTTGACCTCTGTCTGTATCTAGATTAGATTAAGTCACTCCCCTTGTCCCTCCAGGATCTGGCACTTTTCTTTCTTTGCACTTAGCACAAGTTGTGATTATATATCATTTGTATTGTCGTGTTCCATGTCTGAATATCTTAATTGTCTTGTTTAACTGAACTCCATGAAGGCTGAGTCTGTTTGCTCTCTCACTGTGTTCTCAGCGTCTAATACAGAATTATGCATATAAGTAGGCACTTAATATTTGGGAAATAAATTAGTTTCAGTGGCAAGAACACTGTTGACACTGGACTTCCGAGTTGGAAGGAATCTGATGAATCATTTAATTAATCTAGTCTCATTTTTATCATGCCTGTCATGTCCTTGACAAAGGTGCATTCACACTGTTCCTCTGCTACTCTGTGAGCAAAGACCTCCCTGTTCTTTCAGTTGTATCCTCTCTGTCCTTTGCATTCTTATCATTGTTCTCTAAAGTATTTAAGAGGCCTGATCAGGTGGGCTAAAGTAAGATGGTTTCCCTCTTTGATTCTAGCAGTGTGCTTTTATCAGTGCGTCATAGGAGTGCCTTCGATCTTAGCGGTTGTCATAGCACTGATGCGTATTGAGCTGATAGCTAAAACCTAACATTTTTTCTTTTAAAGATTAGGGATTTCCATTGTTAGATTACAAATGAAGCACTTGAAGCCATTTTACCTTTAGCCTTCTCTTGGCTGATAGCTTTTCTCTATACAAATTGTTGCAGTTTTTTTAGTTTATAAAAATGTCTTACAGGTGGGATTGTCGTGGATAGCACCTGTTACTTCCTGTGCCAGGTTATAAATGTGTATGAAAGGAGGAAACTCTCACTGAGCTCCTACTCTGTATCAAGCTTTTCTAACTACTTTATATAATGTATAGTTTACATTTTACAGTGTACATGAAACATCCAGCAAGGCAGTATGGGGCAGCAGCTAACACAGACTCTGGAATCAGATCCCCATAATTAGAATTATGGCCCTGCTGCTTACTAGCTGTGCAATCTTTGATAAATTCCTTAAATTCCACTTGCCTTGGTTTCCTCATCTGTAAATTAAAATAATAATTGTGCCTGTCTTATAAGGTGGTTGTAATGATTCGATAATTTAATATTAATATATTCAAACCGTTTGTAATGGTACTGCTACATAGCGGTGGATATGTATTAGCTATTATCTCATTTGGTTCTCAAAATAATTCTGAATTAATATAATTCCAGTTTTACAGATGAGGAAACTCATCCAAAGAGGTTAGATTACTTCATTTAAGGCAAATGCAGGACTTGCACTTGTGCTGAGAGTAGCAGAGCTGCAGGTGTTTGTGTGGGAGGAATCACACCTAATTGCTTTCTTCTGAAAGGGACTGTGAGTGTAGCCCGTGCTTAGGGTCCATCGACTGCTCTGCGGATGCCTTGGTTGTATCTCTAATGAGGCAAGACCACATTATTAGCTTTAAATAAACTGGTGAGGAAGCAGTGACACTGAAAGGTGGAACCAGCCATAGCAGTCACAAGACTATGAGGTCCTAGAAGCAGAATCTGTCATACTCATATTTTTATTTCTAGCCCCCTGCACTGATGTGTAATATGTACTCAGAAAATACTGTTGGTGATAAGGGAGTGAATGAATAAATGAGTGAAAGTATGGAGAGGGAGTGAGAGCTGGGAAGAGAGGCAGAAATGATGCCAGGGTTTTGGGCGTGATGACTGGAGAGATGGCACCACCTTCCCCTGTGATAGCAAACCGAGGACGAGGAGGCAGGGCCAGTGGAGTGAGAAGGAAAATTAATGAGTTTGATTTGGACAGGTGGAATGTAATCCTAGTAGAGATATTTAGCAGGCAAATAGAAATAAGGGGAGAGGTCAGGGTTGGAAATACACTGGAAACTTCTTTTGAATTTGAAACTGGAACAAGTATCCCTAGAACCGCAATCCCATAGTTTCAAGAAGTGAGTTTTCTCAAGAAATTCTGTGAAGGCACATTATGGATGTTATTCTGTAGTTAGTTTAGACTTTACACCTTACTCTCTCAGCATCATGTAGATGGAAAGCAATTTAATTTTATAGTACAGAAGTGAAGAAATGCAGATTTTAGAACCAAGCCATATATAAAATGCACAATATAAAAGATACCTCACTGTAAACCTCATTTCCTCAATACTGCACGTGCCTTTGGAGAGCTAATTAAAGTGAAAAATACTTAGGTAGATAAAATAGAAAGCTTGGGTTATTTATGGTAGAAATCATGCCAGGGTAATTGTGTTGTACGTGAGTAAAATCTTTCTCATTCAGGAATAGTCCAGGCTGGAGTCAATAAAATCAAATTGCCTGAATCAGTAGGATGGGAGGGAAACAGAATCATCTTTATATGAACTAGCCTTCTTTTTCTGTTACCTGTTTAACTATTGTATAATTGCCAAACCTTAATTGGAGAGGTTATGTTTCATGTCATCCATATTAAAAGCTCAGTTTTGTCCTAACAGATTTGTAATATTTTAGGGAAATATTTTATTTATGATACATTTCTGTTGCTTTTTTCTTTAATTATAAAGTGTAGTGCATCTTTAAATATGTTTTCTAAGTAGACTTTCTCTTCTATTTATAGAGTATCTATTAGATTCAAGGTATTTTATCACATCTACTAGGATTTGAAAGATTATTGATTAATTAGTATTTTACATTCAGTTATTCCTGCTTTATTCCTGATACATTTAGAAGTTTTCTTAATAGTAATAAAATAACTTAATTATTTTAGAGCAGTCAGAAGACTATTGAGTTTGTTAGTGTTCTTATCTTGTTTTATATATGTTTAATCTAAGGTCAGGAGAGATGGCAATCTATTAATAAATTATTTAAGCTTTTGAATTACAGTGCCTTATTAAAAAAATAAAGATAGCTGTAATTTTTAAAAATGTATTTCATTGTTCAAAGGTGTGTTTGGGCATTTGTTTTCCTCTCAGTTTTTGAAAACTTTCTGGAATTCAGTTATATTGATTACTTTAAAAAATATTTTTATCTTTCAGGAGTCAGGAGAAAGCAGTGGAAGTTGGAGTCATTACCAGGTGTTGAGACCTTTTACAAGAAAAATCTTCATTGAATAAAAGTGTTTTCAATTAGTGACATAACAAGACCAGTAATTAAAGGTGACGGTATACAGAAAACGTTACCATTGAACAATGACTCAGCTATATATTTACATCAAATTATTGGGAGCCTATCTGTTCATCATTTCTCATGTTCAAGGTAAATCACTATTCATTAAGCAGTCTCACTTTTTTAGTGATTTGTTTCTCTATATATAAAAGCATTCATTCTTAGGATTGCTCCTTCAACTCATATCCCGTTTTAAACAGGTAGGCCCAGTATGCCAGCATGGCTTTTAAGTTCAGAGACAGAGAACAAACACATGCCAAGTAATTTCTGAACTTGACTATCACAGAAAGATTTTCAAGTCTAGGTGAAAAATCTCAGCCTCTCTGAACCTACTCTGTTATCTATAACATAAGCATTATGATACACAGCATCAGACTTGTGAGGATTAAATAAGATAAAGTATAAAATATAGTACCTGACCTAAGACACAGGATAATAGGTACTCAGGACTTAGTTTTAAAATTCGTCTCTCCTTTAAAATACACTAAGGAGTAAATATCAATAGTTTTTAAAAAAATATTTTATTGTCATTTAAAGAGTTTAGAGACATAAATGGAATTTCTGTGTGCTGAATATTGCAGTTTCTTTGGAGTACTCACAAAGTTTTATTTATGGCCAATACCATGATTCTGTTGTGCATTCACAGCTTAGAACTCCTAAATGGGAAGTTACTGTGATGACTCTTAGGATCAGATGGGCTATCTTTGCACGTGAACTCTTTCCTGTATGGTGTAGTTAGGACAATATTTTAAACTGAAGAGATAGTGCTATTTGGCAAAAGGATTTTAGATGGAACTTACTGAACATCTTCATTCTCTTAAGTTTATGACTTCACAGATTCTTCATAATGTTTTGTTCACAGTGATGATTAATATCTACTAACAAGAAATATGACCAACAGGAGAAATCTTTTGACATTTTCATTTTAAAGAGTGGACATAAAGAAATTCGTAGCTTCTTTGTATTTTGTCTTAGGTTTAGTACCCTTTATTGGTACTGTGCTCGGAATATAGAGCCCTCTTGCAAAAGCTCCTTTTTTATATGAAATCACCACATTATTTAATAAAGCATCTTTAACATCGTTGTTACATGACTTGCTGATCAGCAACAACCAAAGTTGTCCTAGTTTTGAAGATGAGTTAAATTGATAGTAACATTTGTATTTGCTACCTCACTTGCAGGTAATCACTATTTCATATTAAATTTTTTTAAAAAAAATCTGTATGGATCACACAGAGCAATATGAAACAAAATTCTTGTTCCCCATCCTGATTCACGTTGTTATATAATAAACTTTTGTTAGATGAAATGAATTGGTAGTTATCAGGCATAAGTGTGAAAAATCTTAGTAAGAATTATATTTCTCTGATAAAGAGTAAAATTCATTACATTTTCTTTCAAAGAAGATGAGTTTGATAGTTGCCTTCAAATGATAAGATAAAAATATTTGCTCTTAAAGGAAAGAACTTAAACCAATGGAGAAAAAATGTTGTTTCTTAGAGATTACTAAGGATTGCCAGAGTGGTGTTAAGCGTAAATAACCTTTGACTTTAGCTCCAGCTTTATTTTGAATTGTATTTTGAGAAAGTACATTTTTCTGTACTTTGGTTTCCTTGTTATAATATAGAGATAATAGCACTTACCCTAGATACAAATAAGAATCCTTTTAGCAGCAAATGTTATGACAGAGATTTAAATGTTTTACATTGTGATAACGTTATTAAAGTTGGAACAGAGTAAGTCATCTGATGTTAACATCTGATAGATATTTAGTTCTTGTTTTCGATTTGGTCAAATTTTAGAAATTGATTTTAGCTTTATGTAACTAATTACTCAATAAACAGTGACTTTAAAAAAGAGATTTATCTTCTGACATAATGGTGGATATTTGCTGTTGTTCATTCAGTAGTTGACTAGTACAAAGGTTGGTATCTCTGTAACTTTCTTGGTTTTTCCCTCATGGTTACAAAATGGCTGCTATTATCTGCATTGGAGGAAGGAAAAATTGGGAAAGGTCAGCACTGGCCTCAACTACACCTAATATAGGAAAGCAGAAGTGTCCCCAGAAACTAAACCCACCTCCCACCAGCAGATTTTATCTTTTTTGGAGGGGAGGGTGCAAACTGAGACAGTTTCCAGGACTACTAGAAAACTGGAAGACAACATTGTCACAGTCAGTTTAGATTAATCTAAATCTATTGCCTAGGATTATACACGTTGTCCCCCCAGACAAAATTAGAGTTTAGATAACTAGGAAGATGGGGAGGATTGATAGCCACTGGGGAAGAAAAAGATCTGGAACAGATTTTATCTCTTCTGTTAGTTAAGATGCTTTCAGCTGTAAGTAACCAAAACTCACTTCAAGATAGCTTAAATAGTAAAGAAAATGTAACATCACACAACAAGATATTTTTCTTTTTCAACTGTGCTGTCTTCCACACGTCAGTTTAGTATAGGTTAGTTCACTTCACAGCCACAGTGTGGCTGCTGAGGGGCCAGACATCACATGCAGATAATAACTTTAAGTTGACAATATTCAGTACAAGAAGAGAGATGGATGTCTATTGTGAGTCTTTTTAATTGGCCAAGAGATCTTTCCTCATGCATCTCCCCTACCTACCTCCAGACTTTCATCTAATCTTATTGGCCAGAATTTATTGTGTGCTCTTATGTAAGCAGTGGTGGGGGAAGGGAATGGAACTAAAATTGTTGGATTAGACAGAAATTAGATTTAAAAAAATGTTTTTCGATTAGAGGGTAAGGCTGTACTTCCCTGAACACAGGGGGGAGGGGCAAACACTTAAAACTTAAAAAAAAGTGTATATGTGTGTGTGTATTTCCAGCAAGATAAAGGGGAAAAGAACTAACAGTATCTGTTGCCAGGCACCACAGTTTTTACCTAACATCATACATACCCTTTCTTACATGCATATACTAAAAGTGTTCATGTTATGAAGTTTTCAGTTCCTCCTCAAAGGGATATATAACCTCAAGTGCTATCCACTTAGAGCAGTCAGCTGCTAATCCGGGACCTCTGCATAGTATGTGGCCTTCTCTGTCAGGTCCAGGTGTGCCTCTTCATGGTCCAGCAGTGTATGGCTAAAAGAAATTATTGGTGCCCAACATTCCTAATATTCAGTGATGAAAGAAAAATCGGCTAAGTATTGTAAAACTCCCATTCAGAGGAAGGAAGACTTGGAAACAGCCTTCAGTGGTCATTGCTCCATAGCACGTGGATTAAGGAAAACTGCTTTTACTGGTAACCTTGTAGATGCAAGACATTGACGTCCCATTGGTCTCTGCAGCTCTCCTACGTTTTGCTTTCGGATCCCTATTTAGACACTCTGTCTTGGTGGGAGGAGGGGGAGGGATTTCCTCTGCTTTATACAGAGGAAGCCAAGAGATTATTGGGAAAGTAGGAAAAATTATTTAGCCAGGAATAAAAAAATCTAATAAAATAAAATCATTGATGCCAGAGATTGTCATCAGTGACAAAGGAGCATGGTGTGAATATGCCTGTATTCTATATGGATGTGTAGTCACTTGTATCTTTCAGCTATATGTCTTTATATTTTTATATATTTTGTTTTCTAATTTGTTATACTTGAGCATGTAGGCTGTTAAATATTTTTTGTGCTTTTCTTTTGAAATATAACCTGAAGCTCCAGCCCATCCCACGTCGTCTTATTTCATACTTTGTAAACACAGGACTTGAGGGTAGAAAGAGATTGTCATGTTCTAGGAACTGACACAAGGCCAGTATGTGTGGGCATGATGCAAAGGAGGTGCTGTGAGTTGATAATGGAGTGGTACACAGGGTCCAAATCCTGCTGGGCCTCCTTAGGCCTGGTGAAGAAGGTTGGATTTTATTCTGAGTGTATATGAGGCCACTAATCAGTTTTAAGCCAGGCAGTGACAGGATCAGGTTTAGACTTACAAGATTACTCTGGCTGCTGTGTGGGAAATGGATTGGAGCGGCCAAAATTACAGAAGTAGGCAGATCGGTGTGGAGATTCTTATCTTGGAAGTGACATAATATGATGGATCCAGGTAATAGTGCATTTGGACCAAAATGAAAAAAAAGGTGAGATACATCTTGGAGATTGAGCCAAAGACCTTAGGAGGACCAGGTTTGTGGAGAAAAATCACACATTCTATTTTAGACAAGTGAATTCTGAGATACTTAAGCAAGTCAAGGGTGAAGGGAATAAATCTAAGAACCATCAACAAACGGATTGATTTAAACTGTGGAAATAGGTGCTGTCACCTAGGGAGAGAGTGCAGAGAGGCTGTTGCTGTTTTTCTTTGTATTCACACCTCTGCTGAGTGAAATGTTACAACTTCAAAGTGTAGCTCCGGTTTCTTTGCTTCTGACACTGTAGGATGAGAGTGCGTGTTATTGGCTCTTTCCTTCGCTTACATAACACCTTTGTATTCTATTGAACTGGGTGTATTTATGTGCTTATACCCTCCACACACACACCTTTGCCTCCTTCCAAGTTTCTCAAGGACGGATGAGTTTTCAGCATTCGGTAACTTGCCTTGCATATAGTTGGCCTCTAATTAGTGTTTTGTTAATTAAATATTTGAGATAATATAAACCCCAGATGTAAATTATTATAATTAAAGTATTTTTATCTGCTGAATTCAAACAGTATTTTAGAAAGTTATGTGTATTAATCATCATATAACCTTGAATTTTCCAGGTATTGGTTATCTTTTAGTGTGGTCCTTTTTATTAGTAATACCTTCATTTGTACGCCTTTATATTGAAGCCCTTTGTTATATATTAATTTGATCTATATATAACCTCTTGACTTGAGCAGTTATCACCATTTTTTCTTTTTTTTATTATCACCATTTTTTATAGAGAGAGAACTGAGGTTCAGAGTATAACTTACCAGTGGAGATATTCGGAAATTGAACCCCTGACTTCTCTGTTATTTCTGGCACACTGTACTGCTTTTTCTAGGTATCATAGATTTTTGAAAAAACCAATTGCGTGCCTATATTATTTGCCATTTATTCTCCATAGTTAAATTGATGCTTCCTTCTGTTACTGTAATAGGATTTTGAAGCTGGTTAAGAGACTTCAGATGTGCTCTAGCCCTACAGTCTCATTGAGTAAATGAGGCTTTGAAAGTGACATTGCTTGTTCATGATCATCCAGCTAGCCAAACAGTGGAGGGACATAGGAGACCAGAGTCCAGATCTCCTCATTTCTATCCCAGTGGATTTCTTCCCTTCCTAAACCTCCCCTCCTCTTTTTTTTAAACGATTGATGTTCTTAATGTAGAGGAAGTCTTTAAGTTTTGTAGCAATTTAGAGGACTAAGTGAAGATTATTAAAATTTAAGGCATGGAATCAGTAAAATTTATTTAACAGTACATTCAATGTGTGTATGTTATTTTTCTTTTTTCAATAGTTCATCTCACCAGTACAGGTAAATTTTAAGTTGACATTGTGCCTTAAACCACTTAACATTTATAGTGAAATACATACACAAGTCTCTTAATATTTTATACCTGTTTGGCTCTATATTTTACTCCCTGGAGAGCAACCCCACAAGGAATAGCCTAGCTGATTTCAGCTGATTCAGAGGGAGGAAGGAATTACTGAGACATTGTTTTAGTTCTGTTCTGTTTTCAGCTTGAAAGAATCAGCGCCAGGTATGACAGTATCTGTCATTCGAGGCTGCTGGACTCCAATGCAAGAACACAGTTCTGTTTCCATATGCTGACCACTGCCCTACAATAACCTTCAGTCTCTGGCAGCATAGTCTGGATTTGAACCAATGACCTTGAGATAAAAGGCACCAGATAATATGATTAGTCCCTGTGCTCTCACAGTTCCCTTACTCAAGCAATTAAAATCCAGAGCAAGATGCTTAGTAACTTCGCTTCCGCATAGAGGTACAAATTAAAGACTTACCTTTTTTAAAGCCAGTCACAAGTTTTGAACCAAAGAATCTGAAAAAACCATAATTTGTCTATTTTTTAATGATTGGAAACAGTCTCAGCCTTTCCTGAAATTGCTTTCCATTTTGTACCTTTCTTACAAGTTCTGACCACATCCTACCGTGTACCACTCTTGTTTGTCTTTCATTAGTGCTAAATTGTGACATAGTCGTCTGCATATATCCCACGATACCTGGGATAGTTTTTCTGTGCATTTTAGGTTGTTAATAAATATTAATCATGTGAATGAAATTTAGTTTTAATTTAAAAACATCTTAGCTGCAATTGCTGTGATAAGAAAGCTTAGAAATTTCTTCTCACTGAAAATTGGAATGAAACAATTAGCTTTTCAGAAATGGTTTATTTACACTTTTCCCATTTGAATACAGGGCAGAATCTAGACAGCATGCTCCATGGTACTGGGATGAAGTCAGACTCCGACCAGAAAAAGTCAGAAAATGGAGTAACCTTAGCACCAGAGGATACCTTGCCTTTTTTAAAGTGCTACTGCTCAGGCCACTGCCCGGACGATGCTGTTAATAACACATGCATGTAAGTGTCTCATGCAGTCCTTCTTAAAGTTATGAGAGTAGGGATGCATTTAGTGCTATTTTAAGAATTGTTTACATTGTCTAAGTTCTATTTTTCCTTTAACTTTATATGGTATCTTTCTAAAACCAAAAGCTTCTTGTTCATTATATAGGAACCCTTATTACTATTAAGTGATTGATGGTTATTTTCTTAGAGTAACTTTGTAATACAGCTTTTTAAAAGAGGTGAAAGGAATCTGGTATTTGTCTAACATTTTGCATTTGTTTAATAATTTTTTATCATAAAGTTATTGATGCTCATTGTAGAAAACTTAGACATTACCAAAAAAAAAGAAAATTCACCTAAAACCTTATAATTCTAAATTGGTTGAAATATTTTACAAATATTAAGAATGATATCATGATATTTAATTTTATGTTATTTTCTTATAAGTGAACTCCCCAATCC